TTTGGTAGGGACATAGTTGAGTTTGACTAATTCACTATTCACCTTTTCTGAGAGACAACATCTATCGATCTCCATATGTTTCGTTCGATCATGATGAACTGAATTCTTCGCAATACTTATCGCCAACTTACTGTCACTTTGAAGTTCAAAATAATCATTTTCACATAAACCCAATTCAGTTAAAAGTCTTTATAGCCAAATTCACTCATAAATATCGTTTGCCACTGCTCTATATTCTGCTTCTGCACTGCTCCGAGAGAATACCGCTTGCTTTTTACTTCTCTATGTGACAAGATTTCCCCAAACAAATGAACAATAATCAGTTGTAGATCTTATATCTGTTAATTATCCTGCCCAACTCGAGTCAGAGAAGATTTTAATTGTTCTATCTTTACTTTTTCTGAAAATTAATCCATGTCTCGGTGTCATTTTAAAGTATCTCATAATTCGGTTTACGGTCTCCAAATGTTCTTCTCTTGGGTCGTTCATATATTAGCTCACAATATTTACCGAGAAAGCTATATCAGGTCTGGTGAGTGATAAGTAGACGAGTTTACCTACTAGCCTTTGGTATTGTTCTTTATTTACTGAGCTCCCCCAATTTTTTTTTTTAACTTAAGATTTGCTTTCATTGGTGTTTCGATTGGTTTGCATCCCTTCATTCACGTTTCTGATAGTAAATCAAGAGTGTACTTCTTTGACTTATCACTATCCCATCTTTTGATCTTGCAACCTCCATGCCTAAGAAATATCGCAAATTTTCCAAGTCATTCATCTCAAATTCCCTTGCTAGTAGCTTCTTTAGTCTCTCTATTTCTACAGTGTCATCACCTGTTATAATAATATTCTCTACATAGACTATCAAAATATCTTTCTTCTTGTTTGAAGTTATTTTGACGAACAAGGTATGATCTGATTGGCTTTGCTTGTATCAATCCTGAATGATTACCTTTGTGAATCTATTAAACCACACTCTCGGAGATTGTTTGAGTCCATATAAAGACTTCAGTATTCGACATGCTTTTCCTGTACCACTCTTCACACCTGGTGGGATTTGCTTAATAAATTTTCTCTTCTAAGTTGTCGTTTAAGAAGGCATTCTTGATGTCTAGCTGATGAAACACCCAGTCCTCATTAACTGCAAGAGACAGTAGTACCCTCACAGTGTTTGATTTTGCCACAGAAGCAAACGTTTCTTGGTAATCAATTCCTAGAGACTGGGTAAACCCTTTAGCCACTAATCGTGCCTTGTATCATTTGATACTGCCATCCGCCTTGTATTTAACCGTAAACACCCATTTACAACCAACATGTTTCTTGTATTTCGGGAGATCAACTGTTACCCATGTGTTTTGTTTTTCAGTACGATCAGTTCTTCTTTTACTGCCTTTTTTCACTTAGGGTCTTTCAATGCTTCTTCCACCTTGTATGGAATGGTGATGCTGTCAACATTTATTGTAAAATTCTTGAAACAGGGCATTAGTTTTCCATATCCAACAAATCTATTAATAGGATGATTTGTGCATCTCCTAACTCATTTCCTCTGAGCAATCGACAAATCGCTGTCACCAGTTAAGGCATTAAATTCATTAGAGGGACTTAAGTTACTTTCTTCATCTCCCGAGGGACTCGAGCTTTGTTCTGGTTCATGAGAGTGGTCATGCTGTGTAGGAGACTTGGGTTAAGGTTCAGAAGTAGGCTCTGGCATTGGTTTTTGTCTTCTCTTGTGGAACAGTAACTTGGTTTTTTTCAGTTGGAGGTGAAGTAAGTTGGTTTTGTGTTGTTCGTCGGGAAGGAGTCGGTAAATTTTTAATTTTCGTTGGGTTTAGCGATGCTGGAAGGTCTGGAGGAAGCATACTTGTTCGGTCTGGTTGGTTTATATAAGATGGTTGAAGTGACTGGAATTCACTATAAGACCCCCCCCCTGAATTATAGTTTTATGAAAAAAAAAAGGGTTTTCTCAAAGAATGTGACATCCATTGTAACAAAAAATTTCCTAGTTCGAGGGCAGTAACATCGAAAACCCTTTTGAGTAGAAGAATAACCAAGAAACACACACCTGAACGCTCAAGGATCTAACTTGAATCAAGAAGGGACATTATTATGGACAAAGATAGTACACCCAAAGACACGGAGTGGTAAAGATGAAGTTATAGGTTTAAAGTTAGGAAAAAATTGAAGAAATACCACCCGTGGACTCTGAAAATTCAAGGGTTTGTTGGGTAGATGATTGATCAAGTACGTGGTAGTTAAAAGAGCATCCGCAAAGTAACGAGGAACATTTGTGGTGAACAAGAGAGACCAGGTGACTTCTAAGAGATGCCTATTTTTCCGCTCAGCTATCCCATTTTGTTGAGGAGAGTTGACACACGAAGTGATATGGACAATCTTTTTTTTTCCTGAAAGAAAGATCCTAAAAACTTGGCAAAATACTCACTGTCATTGTCAGAATGAAATATTTGAATTGAACTCTGAAATTGATTTTCAACCATCTTATAGAACCTTTTAAAGATTTCACTAGCCTCAAATTTTGTTTTCATGAGGTATGTCCAAGTGGTTTGAGTATGATCATCAATGAAAGAGATAAACCACCAAAAATCCTATATTATTTCTACTCGGGAGGGTCCCCAAATGTCACTGTGAATCATTGCAAACGGTTTGGATGGTTTATATGGCGAAGATGGGTAAATATATTTTGGTTGCTTTGCAAGAGGATAAATATCACAAGAAAAAGTTGTGGGACTTTTATTGATAAATAATGGGGAAACAACTTTGCAAGATAAAAAAACTTGGGTGTACCAAGCGTAAAAGCAATAACATAATGTCGGTGGAAGTATCTACCAAGGAGGTTTATGATGCAAGACTGGAAGGATATGTTGTTTGATGATTATCGGAAGTAGGTAAAGTCCCCCACAAAGATTTGGAGCATAAAGAACACAAGATAGGAGGATGTTCGGATTAATCCTAACAGTCCTATATCCAACAACACGCGAAAGGGAACCATCTGCTGTCTAAATATGAGAAATAGATGAGTCTTCATTGAATGATTAAGAAAGCTGAGGATCGCCTGTCATATAATCACTTGCACCAGAATCCACAATCCATATAGGAGTGTTAGATTTGTGAGCCAAAGTAGCAAAGGAAACGCTAACTGCAGAAGAGGATGATGTTAGTGCATATGGATGTAATTGACCAAAGAGTTTTTACAGTTCTTCTATTTGTTTTGTGGTAAACGAGCTTCCTGCAGTAGACAGAGCACAATTTTCCTGAGCATCGCACTGTGACTGTTGCTTGGAAGATTTTCCATTAGTTGGTTTGTCGTGTAGTTTCCAAAAAGTGTCTCTCACATGTCCAACCTTACAGTAATCACACCATGGTCGACCCTTCTTAAGACGAGAATTGTTCTGAGATTAAGTAATGTAGATCCTTCAGTGGATACAGGATCCAGAAGCATTAGTGTGCGTCGACACTCTTCTCGTATGACTTTAGAAATTGCCTCCTGAATTGAAGGAAGAGGTTTAAGGCCTAAAATTCTTCCTCGAACTTTGTCAGGATCTCGATGCAACCCGGATAAGAATTGAAATATTTGACCTTTTTCCACAATTTGTTTAAACAATTGCGCATCATCCAAACATCTCCATGTGTGAGATTCGAATAAATCCAGTTGTTGCCATAATCAGGACATAAGAGTAAAATATTGGGTGACATTCATATTGTCCTGCTTCAGATTAGCAATCTGACATTCAATCCCGAACAGGGCAACTGAATTTTCCATATTGGAATCTGTAACCTTGGCAACGCTCCATATTTTAGCAGCTGTTTCATAGAGCAAAAAATATTAACCTACCTCCGGGGTCATGGAGTTGATGAGCCATGACATCACCACGGTATTTTCACTAAGCCAATTATCCGAGATCATTGACAGCGGGTATTGGTGTGGACTCCGAGAGAAGATACTGCTTGCGACGGCTGGTGATGTAGAGGCAAACTGATTTGGACCAAGGGATGTAATTGTCACCATTTAACCGGTGACAAGTGATAGAGGCAGAAGAATTCTCGGTAAAAATCGAATGAGGCGAGGGAGAGAGAATATCTGAGATATCATCCGAGGAGTTAGCAGCGGTCATGGTTGACTCCGAGATACTGCTGTAAGTGGCGATAGGAGAATTGAGGAGATTGGCGCTACAATGAGGATCATACGGGTTGTGCGGTGAGGAGACAGGGTTGGCCAGAGAGTTACCAAACAGCGGCGGAAGCGGATGGGTCTTATCGAATGGCCGTAATAAACGGGAAGTACTGCCGCTGCAACGAATGAGCGCTGCTATTTGGAGGTTTGTCACACGGTGGCAGGAGTAAATTTAGGATCGACGCCGGCAACTGTACCATGTAAATTACCGTAAAAGCTAGAAAATAGGAAGAAAATAAATCTCTTGACAACTGTTATTGAATTCACGAGAGTACATGCCTGCTTTTATACAATTCATGGAGTTAGTTTACTACTAGAACTAGACTACCTTGTAAAGTCTTACTCTAATCCAATATGCTAATTATTAGGATTAGAATTAGAATTAATCTAGGAAATATATTTAATCGTACAACTAACAATAACGCTACTTATCAACCTTTTTTTTGTTTGTTTTCTTTTAACTCAGGTATTCTCGACTTCAAAGCATAGAATGATCACTCACCATGTATCCAATACATTAACCACATATAAGCATCTTGTCAATCTCACCCAAACGCATAGAATACCCCCTCCACACACCAGCTCCCACCCCAAAAAATAATAATAACAAACACATAATTTCCCAAAATAATTTGACTTTCATTGATTTATGTGATTTAATGGAGACAATCTTAGTTACTAAATTTATTTCTGAGTGGTTGAAGGGTGTAAATTCTTTATAAAAAAAGGCTAATTACATGTAGTATTTATTTAGAACTTGCTATACCAACTATACATCTTCTCAATGTTATATTTCCCTTGGAATTTGCTACAGGAATGTGGATTCGCTCTCTCAGTCATCAGCTATGGATGCCTAATTAACCTTTACTCTAAGGCAAGGATTTTTATTTTTTACCTTTTTCTTATATGATTGCTTCCCTATTGTCTGCACTCCCTCAAACTCCCTTTGTATGGTGTTTTCTTCTTCTTATAGTGAATGTTCTTGCTTATAGTTTCTTACAGTGAATTATCTTGTGATTTCTTGTAGGATGAAACTTATTCATGATGGTTTTTCCTAAATATAGTTTCTAGGCTTCATATCCACTTTGGTGTGGTATATTACAGCTATTAGAATCCTTTTGGAGTACATAATATTAAACATTGGATGTAGTATTTAAATATACTAATTGGAGCGATTTTATGTTAAAATATTTTAGATTGTCTGCTCTCTGCTGTGTATTTTTTCTCTGTTTTCTCCATGATGTGTTATATTTAAGCATCTATTGTAGATAGGTGCATAAAAAAATGATAAACGCATCACTTGTTTTATTTAATCAAATGAGAAAATGATTAGTATTGTACCAAGAGTATACGCCTCTTATACTATGTTTCTCTGTTTGGTGTATTTAATTTTTTTTATAGGAATTGAAGGCCTCGTTAAAAACCCCCCTTCTTGATTAATAGAGCTTGAATGAAAGCTCTTTAATCAGCGGAAGGAGGAAAAGAGTGCATTAAATTTTTTTATTAATAATAAGAAATTACATAAGATTTAACAATTACACCAAACTGCATTACATAAAACTTAAAAACTCCTCCAACCATAGAAACCTGCTCTCTGAAACAGAATAAACCACATATAAAACCTGACAATCAACCAATCCCTTTCTTTGCTAAACTGTATACCTCCCCATTACACGCCTTTGGAATCAACCTAACTGATTGCACCTTATCTGAGATGAGTGTCGAAATCTGTTTAACTAAAGGTGAGAAAAAAATAGGAGCCAAATACGGAGCATGAATCCATTCCACTGCCGACTTACAGTCACTCTCAACAATCAACCTACCAACAGAAACCCAACGTGAAGACAAAAAGAATTCAATGCCTCTTTTTATAGCCTTTAATTCTGCAACCAGATGAGGCCCTTGACCAACATTCTCTGAAAAAGTCAGAAGAGTAAATTTATTCCAATCTCTTAGAATACCTCTAATCCCTCCATCCGAACCATCTAACCTTACAGCTCCATCAACATTTATCTTTAAAAAGTCTACAGGGGGAAGCCAACGAATCACATGACAATCTTTAGGTTTAGGAACTGAAATACCATCTGCAAGAGATGGGTCACCAATCAACACATCCTCCTGTATAGGGAACTTTGGGAACTTGGCTAGGAACCATTTGTATAACCTGAATCTAACAATGAAAAACAGAGACAATCTGTCAAGAGATGACCCTTCAAACACCATTGCATTCCTAACTTTCCAGATAGACCATAATATGACTCCCGGTGTAAATTTCCAAATCAACGAGTTCACCCTCAACTCACCCCATGATCTAAGTAGAGAAGGAGGGTCTTGTGGTAGAACTACGGATAAATCCCAAAAGTTAACTATTTTATTCCATAATTCCCAGATTACTAACACGAAATAAATAAGTGATGCGCTGATTCCTCTGTTTCTTATAAAAGGAACAGAGAATATCATCACCTATATCCAATCCTCTCTTGACCAACTCTGATATGACTGCCACTTTCTGATGAGCTAGTTGCCAAAGAAAATATTCCACACGAGGTGGAGACAATCCCAACAATACCCCTTTTAACCACATATCACTAGCCCCATACACATTACCGAGGATACTTCTGTAAGATTTAACTGAAAACAGTCCATCACCATTTGTAGACCAAGTTAGAAAGTCTTCTATTGAATATGACAATTTAATATCCATAAGTTTTGGCATCAAATCCATCCATTGATCCAATTCCCAATCACACAAATTCCTTCTGGTTTGAATATTCCACACCCAACCGTTCAATTCAAAGCTGCCAAACTCAGCAACCTTCCCCCATTTGTTAGGAGATAGGGCAAAGATTCTAGGGAATAAATTTATTAAAGGAAACTCATCTATCCATACATCATTCCAAAAAGAAATGGACTTTCCATTTCCCACTTGTAACTTCGAATGTGATCTGAGACAAGCACCCCCCGAATCGTTCTTCAAGAAATTATTAGCAATACCTCTCAAAATCCAAGAAGATTGGGTAGAAGTAACCTTCCTAATAGACATGGTGTTGCAACTAACCTTATGTTTGCTACACAACACACTTTTCCATAAGGAATTTTTTTCATTGGCAAATTTCCACACCCATTTTCCCAGTAGAGCCCGATTAGTAAGATTCAGATCAAGAACACCGAGACCACCACAGTTCAAGGGCCTATGCACTGTACTCTAATTCACCCAATGTATCTTCCTCTTTTTCTCCTTATCACCCCATAGGAAATTAGCCATTAATGAATTCAACTTCTTACCAATTTTGCATGTCATTTTAAAAAGTGATAAGAAAAAAATTGGTGAGGACGTTAATACCGACTTCAATAATACTGTCCTACCAGCCAATGATAGAGAAGAAGGTTTTCTCCCAGAAAGTGTGGAACTAAAGTTCTTAAAGACTGGATCTCATAAGGCCTCTGAATTTTTCTTAACACCTAGGGGAAGTCCCAAATAATCTGTGGGGAAGAAACCAACTGAACAACCCACTACTACTGCCCAATCTGTTAAAATTGCGTCAACCACGATAATTCCAAACAATTTGCTCTTCTTTTGGTTTAGATGTAACCCTGCCATAATACTGAAAATCCTCAACACTCTTTTAACATTTTTAATCTGGGAGATAGAAGCTTGACAAAAAATTATTAAGTCATCGGCAAACTGAAGATGAGACAGCCGAATAGAATTTTTAGAATTCCCTAATACAAAACCTTGAAAAAAACCCTTGTCTATTTCTTTAGACAACATCAAATGAAGCAGCTCACCAGCTATGTTAAACAACAGTGGAGAGAGACTGCAACCTTGTCTTAATCCTTTAGCCATAGGAAACTCTTCCGAAGGAGAACCATTAACAAGGACCGAAATTGAGGCTGAAGAAATGCACTGAGAAATCCATGAGGACCATCTATTACCAAATCCCATCTCTGACATAGCTCTGACTAAATTTGGTTATTCAACCGAGTCATAAGCCCTATGAAAATCAACTTTTAGAACAACCCCTTGTAACCCTTGTTTTCTCCAATAATCAATCCCTTCATTTGCGATGAAAGCACAATCTAACAATTGTCTCCCCGGTATAAAAGCAAACTGGGACTGATTGATAATATCCCCCAACACAGCAAATCAACCTCTTAGATAAAACTTTAGAGAGGATCTTATACAAACTTCCTACAAGACTGATTGGTCTAAAGTCCTCTACACTATCCGGATTAAGCTTCTTCGGAATAAGCGTGATAAAAGCATGGTTTACCCCGTGCTCCCATTTCCTTCCAAAGTAGAAATCCTCAAAAAATTTCATTACGTACTCCTTTAAATTGGGCCAGTATTTCTTAAAGAATCCCATCGTGAAACCATCCGGACCTAGAGCTTTAGAACTGTCCGACGATGTTATAGCTTGCCATATTTCCTGTTCTAAAAAATGCTCCTTTAGCTTTGAAGACTGGTCCCTTGTCAGCTTTGCAAAATCCAGAAATAAATCCTCCACTTCCATTGTTGATTTGGAATTATATGCGTTCTTGAAAAAATCCGAAATATGTAACTTAATCGTGTAAAGATCTGAGACAACAACTCCATTAATCTTGAAGCTCCGAATTTCATTTCTTTTACTTTTGTTCAGCGCAGACAAATGAAAAAATCGTGTATTTATGTCTCCATCTTTAATCCATCTCTTCCTCGACTTCTGAAACCAAATATTTTATTCAATCCTATACAACCTCCAAAGTTTCGATATGAACTGCATCATCTGGCCCCACTCCTTATGAGAAAAACTACCACCTTGTGCCTTGAATTCTAGATCGTTAATTTTCAATTCCAATTCTAAAATTGACTCAGAAATCCCATAAAATTTTCTGCCAGACCAGTTTCTGATTGATTTTTTTGTTCATTGTCTTCTTTCTCACTCTCCAGTCATCCAAGGAAGATTTAACCAAGTCCTTAAAGCTTTCCTCTAATAGATAATTAAAAAATCTGAAAGGTTTGAGACCCCAGTCTATAGATTTTTCCTCCAATAAAACTGGATTATGATCAGATAAGGACCTAGGTAGTAAACTTGGTGCTACATTCAGATAACAGATAAGAAACTTCCCTGAAATTAAGAACCTGTCGAGTCTGACCCAAGTAGAAGCTTCTCTATTGTTTCACCAAGTAAACCTTTCTCCCACCAGAGGAATATCAAGAAAATTAGTTTGGTTCATGAAATTTCTTAGAATATCTATAGAATGACAGTTTTGAGACTTGCTCAACTTCTCTGTCGGATCAAGGTAAACATTAAAATCTCCCCCAATGCAAACTGACAAAGTTTGAACAGCAACAACTCCCTAAAATATTCATCATTTTCAGATTCAATGGATGGACCATAAACATTAACAACCACACATTCTTCACTAGAATTCCTAAACTTCCCAAAAACTGCTATGAATCTGTCTCTTAAGTGGCTGTAGGAAACTTCAAATTCATTATCATTCAACAAAACCATTAATCCACCTGCAGACCCCACAACTGGAAAAAAAATTCCTCCTTTAAGAAATCCTCCCCCTATCCTTCTCCTAAGAGCCCAAGTACATTTCTCTAGCTTAGTTTCTTGAATGAGGAGAATGCACGGCTTGTTCTTCTTGACCATATTAGCAATAGCTCTGGATTTTTCCTTCTTTCCAATACCTCTTACATTCCACGAAATAATATTAATCTTCATCATAAAGATAAATTTACAACCAAAGGCCTCAAAGCAAAACAAACAAAGAGGGACATATTCCCCCGATTCCAACCCTTTCCTACTTTCGACCAAACCTTCCTCTAGATTTATAATTTTTTTCCAAAAAGGCCTTTTTCCCCTCTTTAAATGAAATCCCCAATATTTTACTAACTTCCCATGTAGCCAAAGCCTCCTCCAAGAACATCGAAAAAGTTGAAGACGAGACAGTAGGGCAACTAGCCACTTCCAGAGCTTCCCTAATCAAGAACCTTATCTTTCTTCTACTCTCATTCCCTGCCACTAATCCACACTGGCCTCCTTTTAAAATTTCTTCTACACTCCGAGGCTGCTGTAATTGGTCCACTGCAGGATTCTGAAGAACACCACCTTCGTCATCAATAAATGTGGATCCTTCCTCTAAGATAGTTGGAACAGAAAGACTACTCGAAATATGATTTAGTATATTCCTGTTTTGATCAGTCAACACCATAGTTTGCAATGCCCCTTCCTCACTATTCGGATTATACCAAAATTTTCTTTTTCTAGATCTTCTATACACTCTAGAACAAGTTCCTCTATTCCACCTTCCAACCGAGGCATTTCTAAGGTACAAACTTCTAGACAAGTGATCCAAACGACTCCAACTCCTTAGACCATTTGAAAAGGACTCCTTATTGTATCCCAACACCTGATTGTTAACCGGTTAAACTGATATTGCTTCTCTTTCCACCTCTGTTTCTTCCACACTTCTGACTTCTTTATCCAATTCTACTACTTTCTCTAACGCTTCCATATTTGATTTTTTTTTGAATTCCCTCTACACTGAGACTGTAATATGTCATTGGACCCTCCATCAATCCCTTTTGAGTTACAGTCAGGCCTAGCAGGAACCAAATTTTGCAAATTTGATTCAACTAAAACTGTTTGTTGCAGCTCTCCTTGTATCTCCACCCGAAATTCTTTCTGTTTACCATAACCCAATTTAATTAAATTAACAGCTGGCCTAGTCGGTGAGATTCTAGGATTTTTAGAGATGGGCTCACTCCAGTCATCTGATTGGGCTTTCTCACTACCTTTTAAAAAACTATTCCTCAACCCAAGACCCTGATAATCCTCTTTAAAATTAAAAATTTCTTCTGAAAATTTTGACACCCTTTCTCCACTAGGTTGACTTTCTCCACTAGGTTGACTTTCTCCTACCTGCCTCATTAAATGCTGACCCCCACTGCCACCAGACACAGCTGTACAATCATCACCTGCCAACCACTTGGCTTTTCTTCCCCTAGTATCATCAGCTAACAAGTCTAATCTACCTACCCCCTGAACACCGATCTTCTTCCTTCTCTGATAGTGCGGCTTCACTGTATACATCATCGCCGGCCACCACTGAATTTTCAATTGAAAAACCTTTCTTTTTAATACTAACCGACCCCACAATAATTTTGACCTTAAAAGATCTCCCATAAGATCCCAATGTAACAGTTTCCGGTATATCAAATGGACTGGCCACCCTCAACAGTGCCCTTGCAACCGCTATATCCTCTCTTCTAACCGTCGAATCATGAATACAAATCAGCTTCCCTCACCTTGAAACAAGTTTTTCCAGAAAGGAAACATTCCAACATAATAAAGGGACTCCAACTAATTCAACCGAACAAAAGGCCATCGGAACACCTTCCTCGTTCAAAATCGGATGAAGCCATTCAAACCAAAATGACAATTCCTCCAGTCTGCTCGACCACGCCTCCTTTAGTTCATCCACCGAACCAAAGGTTAAAATGCATGAGTTCCATGCATAACCTCATTTGGCTACTTTGACCTTGATCCCGTCACTAGCCAACCCCTTCAGCACTATTTCCATATCGAAATGGGTTTTGACAATCCCTGTCAATGATCTTTTCACCCAATCCGATTCATCGGATGGGATATGCATCTCCCACAAGTTTCTCATCACTACATCCTTTCTGGGAAGCCACTCCCTATTCTCTTTACTCACCGAAACTTCCCTCCGCCCACCATCAGAGACTAACGCGTCCTTATATGATCTTTCATCTCTCAATCAACTGAAAGACTCATTTCCAACTCTTCTCCTCCAGTTCACTCCCTTATTCAACGTATCTTCTTCCCTATTACAATTCCTACTACCAGCTTGCCTAAACCTCTGCTTCTGATACTTAGATGCCCCGACTGACACTTTCTTTCCGTCTATCCAAATACCATTGACATTTGCTACCGCCTTCTTCAAACCTTCCTCCTTCTCAAACTTAACGAAAGCAAACGTGTGATTTCTATAATTCGGCTTGTTAGAGCTACCCGGAATGTAAACACGCACTACACGACCCTGTTGTTGAAAAATTTTCTTAATTGTTCTCCAAGTGACTCTCTTACTCAGGTTATCCACAAACACCGTCCAATCCTCGTCGAAAGATTGAAAACCTATGTCACTCTCTCTCTCACCCACTCTCTCTCTAGCACTCATTCTCTTAAGGGACATAAATATTATTTGGTGTATTTAACAGTTAAAAGAAATTATTTTCTAAGTGCTCCTCATTGTTATTATTCAAGAAAGTAAGCTACTGTTTGCAGAAGCTTTTTCAGACTTTTTCCACGTACCCCATTGATGGCAAGGATATCAAAACAAAACAAAAATTCTTTTTTATCATTTGATTAATCTACTGCTTAGTAAAATCTAACAGTGTAGAACCACTGCCATACAATATTACACATTGTGTGTCAGCCTATTACTTCCCATTAAACATCTATACTGACAAATTGAAGGTTATGAATTACTATGTATATAATCTTGTTTCATTACTGTATATAAATTTTCAAATTGGGGATGTCTTTTTGACCCCTTATTATTGTGGAATACACTTGTCAGTACTTCTCTGAACTGATTATCTTCCTATGTATTTGGTTTCCAGATTGGAAAAGTCTTCAAAGCTTTAGAAGTTAGCAAAATGATGGAATGTGATGGCATAAAGCATAACATCATGACTTATTCCATGTTGATCAATGGATATTTGAAAATAAAAGATTGGGCCAATGCTTTTGCAATTTTTGAGGATCTGGTCAAAGATGGTTTGAAGCCTGATGTAGTACTGTATAATAATATGATCCGAGCATTTTGTGGGATGGGCAACATGGATCGTGCTATTCATACCGTAAAGGAGATGCATAAGGAGAGGCATCTACCTACTACGCATACATTTATGCCTATTATACACGGTTTTGCAAGAGCTGGGGAAATGAGAAGAGCCTTGGAAGTTTTTGATATGATGAGGAGGAGTGGTTGCATTCCAACTGTCCACACTTTCAACGCTTTGATTCTTGGCCTTACTGAAAAACTTCAGGTATAATGATATGTAGTACGTTGATATGTGCACCAGCAATTCTAGAGGCACATTTGTTTATATCATGAATTTTTGTCTCATTAGTCTAGTATTCCTTTTTTTAACAGAATTAATGCTGATAATTCATCCTCTGGGTAGTCCATTTGGTTCACGGAGTCATTGGATGTAGAACATTTTCAGTAGACCGGTAAATACCTGTTTTATACATGATAATGCCAAGAGGAAATATGGCCAATGGAATATCTATTTTTCATTCCTTTATTTTTAATATACATGGGGATTTCTTAGGCATTGGATTAGGCAATGGGAGAGAACTTTTTGCCATTCCATGAACCTTACTTTCCCTCCCTCAATCTTCAGACTGGAGACCTCAAAATCTTAGTTTCAAGTCGTATCTATTGCAGTATTCTTTTTAAGACATCTCATCCTTTTGCCTAAGATCTATTGATACTGTGAACATAATGCTTGAACTTTGAATTGATTTTCACAGATGAAAAAAGCTGTTGAAATATTGGATGAGATGACTTTGGCTGGCATAAGTCCAAATGAACACACATACACAACCATCATGCATGGGTATGCTTCATTGGGAGATACTGGAAAAGCCTTTGAGTATTTTTCAAAATTGAGAAATGAGGGCCTTGAGATAGACGTCTATACATATGAAGCTCTTCTGAAAGCATGCTGCAAGTCTGGAAGGATGCAAAGTGCTCTAGCTGCCACAAAACAGATGGCCACTCAAAATATTCCAAGAAACACCTGTCTACAACATTTTAATCGATGGGTTTGGACATTCACTAACTTCTGTGCATCGCTAATTTACTAAAACACCGTCTTAATATTCTCTTTTAGCCTGCTTTTAGTTTTCACTTATTTCAATCTCTTTCTTTCTTTAGATGGGCTAGGAGAGGTGATGTTTGGGAGGCAGCTGACTTGATGCAGCAAATGAAACAAGAAGGGGTTCAGTCTGATATCCATACTTATACATCTTTCATAAATGCCTGTTGCAAAGCTGGAGACATGCTGGTATGTATCTTGATCAGTATTCTCAAACTGTAGTTCGTATTACGTCATGCATTGGTAGCATATATGGTTGAAAATTGTAAACTTTGTAATCTATTTGGAATGAGATTCTGTAGTCATTCCATTGCTTAGGTATAATTACACTAAAATGCTTTAATATATGGCGGTTTTAGGATTTAGTCCGGTCTTTTCGGAGCAAGATGAGTTCGTTTTAATAGTCTTTAGCTGTTTACATCTTACTGGATTATAATTTTGTTGTGGTGCACTTGTTCGTTTGTATGGTTTGGAGGTCGGAGGAGTCTGAATTCAACCTCATTTGTGCTAAATTTCTCACTAGAAAGATTTGATGGAACTTGTTAATTTTATTTTCGGCACTATTTTCATTATAAATGAGCTCGAGTGTTTCCTGTCCATCAATGTCCATGTTATCTTCAGCAGTAAATTCTTATTTTGACATTTGTTTACCAGAGAGCAATGAATACAATCCATGAAATGGATGCTATTGGAGTAAAACCAAATGTCAAAACCTATACAACACTTATTCACGGATGGGCACGCGCTTCTCTTCCGGAGAAGGCCTTGAAATGCTTTGAAGAGATGAAACTGACCGGTTTGAAACCAGACAAAGCTGTATACCATTGCTTAATGACATCACTTCTATCGAGGGCTACTGTCGCTGAGGCATATGTTTACTCGGGAGTGTTGTCCGTTTGTTGAGAGATGATTGAGTCTGGTTTGACTGTTGATATGGGAACTGCAGTTCACTGGTCAAAGTGTTTACGAAAGATTGAGAGTGACGCCGGACAGAATAGTGATTATCCTACAGGCGCTCCAACAGATGATTCACAAGAGAAAATTCGCCCAAAAAAACCAAAGAAAAAAGTCTCTAGGGTTTAATAAAATATTATAAAATCAAACAATGTCAAAATCAGTCCACAAGCCGGACTGTTATAGCCAAAAATCGTCTTTATTCGAATTTTGCCAAAAATAGCAAAATCCCGAAAATCACTCTAAATTGAAATTCGAAATAAAATAAGCAATCTCCAAAAAATCTGGCCTAAATCGGATTTAAATTGACGTCCTAATTGACAATCGAAATATTACCATAAATAGTAAAAAATATCTAAATCTAGTGATTCGGAGGGGAAAATGGCAGAATTTGAGGTTGAAAAAAAGGACACATGGAGCATAGCTCGATGTGGAGAGCGTGCGCATCGAAAAGAGCTTTCCGGATTGGGGTCTTATGCGCGATTCTGACACCTGTAGCCAAAGTTATGGCAAAAAAACTGAAACATACTCAAAACGACCCCAATGAGGAACATGTCACAATCAATTCCCGCCTTTGCGCTGATCTGCCAATTAATGGTATCTCAGTGCCATCAATGTGCAATCTGACAGCTCAGCATCATCTGTCTCGGATCCCCTTGCATCAATCACCCCAGGTTGGAAAGAACTCGTCCTCGAGTTCAGAGTAGTGTCATCAGAATCCACAAAACAATGACTCAGGTGCTTCACATTAAAGACATCAGAAGTCTTCAAGTGGCTAGGAAGGCGCAACCTGTAAGCATTATCATTGATCTTCTGCACGACCTCACAAGGTCCAATCTTCCGATCCTTAAGCTTATTATAATCACCAACAGGAAAACGATCACGAGTTAATACAGCCCAAACAAAATCACCAACATCAAAAAGTACCCGACGACGATGATTGTCGACCCGAGTCTTGTACTTGGTATTGCTCTCATGAATGGTCTGTTTCACCTGCTCATGGATACCCCGAAGATACTTTGCCATCTCATCTGCTTTAGGACTGAAATGACCTATACGTGGAATAGGGGCTAAGTCCAGCACCTCGGATGGGTTCTGACTATAGACAATCTCAAATGGGCTTAAACCTGTGGTTCTGTTTTTTGATCTGTTGTAGGCAAATTCTGCCTAAGGCAATGCCAAATCCCACTGCTTCAGCTTCGTTCCTGCCAAACACCTCAAAAGGTTTCCCAAACTTTGGTTCACCACCTCGGTCTGGCCATCCGTCTGGGGGTGGTAGGCGCTACTGAAATTCAATTGCATTCCCAGTTTCCCCCACAGGCTCTTCCAAAAATGACTGATGAACTTAGTATCACGATCTGAAGTGATGGATCGAGGAACACCATGTAAACGCACAATCTCCTTGAAATAGAGATGGGCAATCCGGTCAGCATCCATAGTCTTTCTGCAAGCTACAAAATGAGCCATCTTGGAAAACCTGTCAACCACAACAAAGATAGAATCTGAGGCCCTTTGGGTACGGGGTAAGCCTAGTACAAAATCCATGCTGACATCGAACCAAGGAGCTTCAGGAACAGGTAAGGGAGTGTACAAGACCGCATTTGTGAGAACTCCCTTAGACCGCTGGCACACATAACATCACTAGTCAACTTGGGCCAATAAAAGTCAGAAGAGATAAGGGCCAAGGTCTTATCTCGGCCAAAGTGTCCCTCATTATGGAGTTCACTTATAATTTGCTGCCGCAATGAACAATCTGGAATGCACAACTGTAATCCACGAAATAGATACCCATTATGCAAAACAAAATCATGAAGGTGACCCTCAGTTACCTACTGAAATATCCTTCCAAATGAAGGATCAGCTGCATACATATCTATGAACGTCTCAAAGCCTGCAACTTTAGTACTCATGGTGGTGAGAAGTAAGGTACGACAGCTCAGGGCATCTGCGACGCGGTTCAAACTCCCTGCTTGGTGCCTCAGCGTAAAAGTGAATTCTTGCAAGTATGCCACCCACTTGGCATGACGTCTACTCAGCTTATGTTGGCCATTGATGTACTTCAAGGCCTCATGATCGGTAAACAGAATAAACTCCTTATGTACTAGGTAGTGACAGCAATGCTTCAAGGACTGAACTATGGCATAGAACTCCAGATCATAAGTGGAATAATTTTTCTTTGATCCCGATAGTTTTTCACTGAAAAAAGCAACCGGACGACCTGCCTGACTCAGAACACCACCAATGCCAACGCCAGATGCATCACAATTTACCACGAACACTTTGTCAAAATCTGGAAGTGCCAAAACTGGAGCCTCGGTCATATTCTGCCTGACCAGTTGAAAACTGGCCTCCGCCTCCTCAGACCACTGGAATCACGCCCTTTGAGGCACTCTGTGATAGGGGCGATCAGAGTACTGAAATTTCTAATGAATCGGCGGTAAAAAGTCGCCAAGCCATGGAAACTTCGGATGTCATGTAAGGTCCTTGGTCTGGGCCACTCCAAGACTGCATCTACCTTTGACTGATCTGCATGAACACCATCAGTAGACACAAAAAAACCAAGAAAAGTCGCAGAAGTAGTGAAGAATGAACACTTCTTTTGATTGACAAACAAGCACTACATTTTCAGCATCTCAAAAATAGCACGGAGGTGATCGAAGTGTGAAGTCCATGTCGGACTATAAACGAGGATATCATCGAAGTAAACTATAACAAATTTCCCCATAAAAGGCCGCAAAACCTGATGCATAAATCTCATGAACGTACTGGGCACATTGGATAGCCCGAAAGGCATGACCATCCACTCATACAACCCTTGTGGCGTTTTAAATGCCGTCTTCCACTAATCTCCAGATCTTATTCTGATTTGGTGGTAACCGCTCTTAAGGTCAATTTTTGAGAAGACCTTAAAACCAGATAGCTGATCCAACATATCATCTAGACGGGGAATTGGAAACCGGTACTTCACTGTAATTCTGATGATCGCTCGGCTGTCAACACACATACGCCAAGAACTATCTTTCTTTGGCACTAGCAGAGTAGGGACTGCACATGGGCTCATACTCTCTCGGATATAGCCCCTCTCCAACAACTCTTCTACCTGTTGCTGCAACTCTTCAGCCTCCTTGGGACTAAGGCGATATGCTGGTCGATTTTGCAAACTTGACCCAGGAACAAGGTCAATTTGATGTTGAATATCCCTTATAGGTGGTAGCCCAGGAGGAAGATCCTCTGGCATCAAGTTAGAGAATTCTGCTAGCAGCCTCTGCACCTCTACTGGTAAATCTGCATCCACGTCTACTGCATTTTTCTCGCAAGGTAGTAAGGCATAGACCACGTCGCCATGCTCAATCTCATCTAAAAACCTGGACATAGAAAGCAGAGTAGTATTATAGGTTAATGGGGTAGGAGTGAGTCCTTCCCGCCGGGGTGCCAACACAATCTTTTTTCCCTTGATGCTAAGGGAATATGTATTCTTCCGTCCATCATGAATGACATTGCGATCATACTGCCAGGGTCGACCCAACAATATATGACACACATCCATAGACACAACATCACACCAGGCATTATCAAAATATTTTCTACCAATTGAAAAAGACATGAGGCATCGCCTATCAACTGTTACCTCACTGCCTTTATTTAGCTATGACAGCTTGTATGGCTTAGGATGACGGTCCGTCTTCAACTGCAATTTCTGGACAACCTCCTCGGACACTACATTCTCACAACTGCCACTGTCAATGATCATTTTGCAGACTTTATCTGCAACTGTGCAGGTCGTGTGGAAAATATTGGTTCTCAACCAATCGTCCCCTGAATCGCCCTTGGGAGTAAGAAGACTCTTGCGAACGATCAGAGTCTCATGACCATCTCCATACAGTACATCATCAGTCTCATCATCGTCATACACGGGTTCGCCAATCTCCTCAGTCTCGTCTTCCACGTTTTCCTCAATCAACAAATTTTTACCCTTTTGACTAGCAGACTTCCTGCAATCAGTCGCCCTATGCCCTTGTTCACCACAACGAAAACATCTAATAGTAGGGTTAGAATTACCCTGCGGTGGCTGTTGAGCAAGACGGGAATCCTGAGGACGAACTGGCCGACTGTTGTGATCGTTCCTGATCACTGGTCTTCTATTTTGCTATTTTTCAACAGCAAGTGCACGCTGCTAAGCTTCTGAAACACTCTACAGTGAATGAAGGCTGAGGACATCTTGTAAGGGTTGGCGTAAACCCCCCAAATACCCTCCACCATTTGCTCCTCAGTCTCAGATAAATCGTTCCGGGCGACCAATTGGTAAAACTCCTCCGTGTAATCATCGACTGATCGTGTGCCCTGCCTCAACGCATGAAGTCGCTGAAACAAGGTTTGCGTGTAGCCGAAGGGAAGGAAGTGACCCTTCATCTTCTTCTTCATCTTCTCCAAATCAGTGATCTTGGCCTTGCCCTATCTTTCTCGTGAACGTTGCAACTGTTCCCACCACGCAGATGCTCTGTCCTTGAGTTTGATGGCGATCAATTTCACTTTCACACAATCGGTGACTTCCTTATATTCAAAAATATGCTCCACTTCATTAATCCAATCCACGAATCCCTCAGCCTGTAACGTACCAGAAAACTCAAGAGATCGACCCGAAAACCGAGGTCTCCATGACGCTCATCCCAACCACGGTGCTCCCGGAATAGAGGACGATTGTGATATGGGTTTTCGAAAGTGGAATTGGTATCGTGATCAGAGGCCTCACGATCCTTGAAGTCCTGCGCCGCCAGGTGCTGGGTTAATTTTGTGACTTGCCCCTACAAATCCACAATCATCACATCCTGAACGCTGCGATCACAGCGTTGGGCTTCCTCATTCGGAACCTGCTCACGACGACCATGACCTCCAGCCATTGAAACTGGTGAAATTTCCCAGGAAGATGTTGAAGCTCTGACACCAATTGACGCCGGACAGAATAGTGATTATCCTACAGGCGCTCTAACAGATGATTCACAAGATAAAATTCGCCCAAAAAAACTAGAGAAAAAAGTCTCTAGGGTTTAATAAAATATTATAAAATCAAACAATGCCAAAATCAGTCCACAAGCCGAACTGTTATAGCCAAAAATCGTCTTTATTCGAATTTTGCCAAAAATAACAAAATCTTGAAAATCACTCTAAATTGAAATTCGAAATAAAATAAGCAATCTCCAAAAAATCCAGCCTAAATCAGATTTAAATTGTCGTCCTAATTGACAATCGAAATATTACCATAAATAGTAAAAAAATATCTAAATCTAGTGATTCGGAGGGGAAAATGGCAGAATTTGAGGTTGAAAAAAAGGCCACATGGAGCATAGCTCGATGTGGAGAGCGTGAGCGTCGAAAAGAGCTTTCCAGATTGGGGTCTTATGTGCGATTCTGACACCTATAGCCAAAGTTATGGCCAAAAGACTGAAACATACTCAAAACGACCACAATGAGGAACATGTCACAATCAATTCCCTCCTTTGCGCTGATCTGCCAATTCATGGTATCTCATCGCCATTAAGGTGCAATCTGACAGCTCAGCATCATCTGTCTCGGATCCCTCTGCATCAGAGAGGTCAGGTGGAGAGCTTACAGTGGCCATGCAGAAGACTTTCCCTCCTGATTGGAATGCATACCATACAATTGATGCAAATTCTGATTCGGAAACAAATGATGAACACGAAAGTGAGGACGCAGATAAAGATGTATATTTTGATAATGTAACTGATGGTAATGATGATCTTGATGATGAAGATTTGAACATATTATGGTAATGAATCATAGTTAGCTGCTGTTGATTTATGTATTGTCAGTCAGGTCCTATGCCTATACACAATCGTTCCTATCTAGAAAATTTCCTTAACTCACATTTTGCTTTCATTTTTGTACGAGTAATTTCTCGATCACTTAATGTAAACACATTCTATGCAATATCTCAAAAGGTTTGCTTCTACTCTTTCAGAAAATGCTTTGGTGCTATATATGTTTTCCATGCCGTCCGTAGGTGGTTGTTGAACGACATTACTTTTGAATTATTTTTTACGTGATACTTTTTTAAATAGTCTTATATGATTACAAAGTATTAGATGATTACAAAGTATAAGATTATTACAAAGTAGTATATGTTTAGAATTTTTTTAGTTTATTGTTAGAAAAAATAGCGCGCATTAATTCGATAATGATATAAAGTAATAATAAATAAATATCATTATAGAAGTTAAAGGGATAGAACGAGTTTGTTGTCTTAAGATTGTTGATCGAAGTAACAATCTGAGACGAAATTAATCCTGAGAAAATCAAACAAAGAAGTTAAAATTCATAAAGTAAATCAAAATTAAATAGAGAGAAAAATACTCCTTTTATTTTGATCAATTGAGATCGGAATTAGTTGTGGCATGTCGTTACACAATTTCCTTAAGACAGGTTTTCGGCCACTCTTTTGGTGCTCGAGTTCGTTAGTCGTCTGTCTCCTAGGATACAACAACCTATGATCAGCTACAGTACCATATTTGCACAGATTATGAACGATAATTACCTTTGATTATCATTGGAAAACTAAGAAGAAAAAGAATATTTTCTAATGAGAGAATATTTTTCAAGAGAAGCTTATGATCAACTATAGTAGCACATTTGCACAGATTACGAACGATCATTGCCTTCGACTATTATCGAAAAACTAAGAAGAAAAATAATATTTTCTTACGAGAGAATATTTTTCAAGAGAATGATAGTTCTTGAATTCTCAGATGTGAAAAATCTAACATATTTGCTCACTATTTATAGGGGATTTCAAAAAGAGATTTAATCCAACCAAATATATTTTAATATTCAATTTTAAACATATAATTATTCAAAATATAAAACTCATTTTACCATTCAAACTTAAATAAGTATTATTTTAATTTGAAATATACAAAAGTATATAATTATCTTTAATGTTCGAAGTTGATAGCAAATACAATTTTAAATTAACATATTCAAAAAGTAATTATCCTACTAATATTCAAATTAAATAATATATTTAATTTGCAATGATCAAATTGTAAACTCCTTTTATTATTAAAACTTAAACATATATTATTTTAATTTGAAATATACAAAATTATATAATTATATTTTAATATTCAAAATTAAAAAAGATAACAAATATCTTTTTAAATTGACTTATTAAAAGAATAATTATTCTACTAATATTCAAATTAAAAATTATATTTTAATTTACAATAGTCAAAAGGACTATGAATTTAATATAAATTTTAAATCCATATGTAACACCCTAAACCAGTACGACACACAATCGACCAATCGGAGTGCTATACGAAACCACCGAAGTGGCTAACCAAACTTTTTCTCATTTCTTTTACTTAAAATTGACTATTTTGAAAACCCTTTTCATAAAAAAAACACCCATAAGCATATAAATAATTTTACAATGGGAGTTCCCAAAATAAATATTTACATTTCAAAATAATATAGACCAACTTTAAAATAAATCTACGACTCAACTGGACAACAATGTTTACAAATATACATGCCCTTTAAAAAAGTTGAGACGTACTCTAATATGCTTTGGTAAGGACCTCAACCACTTTACTGCTCCTCAATTGCTCCACCTAATATGCGTAAGGAAAAAAATTCCAAACGATGAGCTAATAGCTCACTGCCACACTAACAACTAAATCATACTAACTTTATATCACTGAAAGACTCAAGCTATCAAGTTTAATGCTTTTCTTTAGTGAGTATACTTGTATACCCACTATCTACACTATGGTAGACATCATGGTGCGGACAAGGGTTCTACATCTCGGAGCTCACATACCCCTCTAGTCTACCGAGAATGTGGCCCCCAGAATTCTTTACATCAGACACCACACTTTTAATTAACCCACCTCTTGCGAGTGGCAGGCTTGTTCACGTGTTGTGAGTACTATAAAATATACGCAAATAATGTGCAAGTATACACAATCGCTCAAGTAATATAATGATGAGTGAGTATCGTCTACACAGGGATTGGGTGAAATCACAAAAGTCTAACCAAAGCAATGCAATTTTCTATCTAAGTATAGTTAGTCTTGATATATACAAATGTCACGGCAATGGATATGTGTATGCTGGTGGATGCGGATTGATGGTGTGATGGTGTAGCAAATGGAAATGCAGTGGCAATGATGGATGTTTAATGTTGAGTATGGTGAAATGTTGAGGCAATGAGAAATGGTAAAGACAGTAAAATAAATAAATAAAATAAGAAGAAAATAATCTTCACATGACAAGCTTCCAATGAAATGAATGGTAAGGATTGGTCTAAGGTTGCTAAACTTATTTATCAAGTATATTTAAGCTATCTTATCTTTACTTACTCGACAAGGCTTTCCTAAGATGTTCAAAAGAACCTAACAGAATAGGATGCCAAGGCATATGTTCTCACTCAACGATGTTGGACAGCCTACCCTATTGATAAAGACACCCTTTTTAGTCGTTGAAATCCTATCCTAGTCTCTTCCGAGATCTAAGGGATTAAGTTATAATATTCTTAGGCCGGTTCAAAGCCCCTTGAAAATACCATAACCCATTGCTTATGAGGATCTTATCTTGCGTTTCTTCCGAATACTTACAAGTATTTTTAGCTTAGGATTCTTCTGAATACCTAACCTTCATCTAAGAGATGGACATTTCCATGCCTCTTACAAGCCTAGATGGTGAAGCATTCATAAGCAAAGCAAATAAAAAACCCAAAATAAACTTAAATATACCCTAAAAAATAAAGTTTAAACAATCGTTCAACCAACCACCACCAAATAAGTTAGTTCATGGTAGGGTTCGAAATATCCAAACACAAAGTCATGAAAATATTCGTTCCAAAAACCCACAAATTAATAGAAAAATAGCAGCAAAACGGAAGCGAGAAGAAGCCTTCGACGCGCCACTGGAGGTCTCCTCTCGGCCACCACGAACCACCTAGCTCGCTAGCTCCTTCCGGCGCCTAGCTTGCCACTCCTTGGAGCTTTATCAATGGAGGAATATCCCAAGGAAGAAGAAATAAAAATGTGATTTTTTCTGCTCTATGCGTGTGCTCTCTATCCTCTTTTTCTTCTCTCCCATGAGGTGTCATATATAATAAAAATATCTAGGGGTAATGATGAGGTTGTTGGGTGCAAAATACCCCTCATACCCCTAGAATCACATGTTGTGCATGAACCTTATCCTCCAAGTGGCAGTGGTCCTTTGGCAGCTCTGGCAGGCGGTTACAGCAGTCCTTCACGTGCAGAGACAGTTGTCCAGTGCCAGCTGTCCTTATGCAGAAATATCTTTTTGTCTTTTTCTACGCCAGAAATGCCAAGGTATTTCAATCTGCTTTAGCAACGTGTGATGCCGCGGCATTACTTCCCAAAGAATCCTTTTTCTTGCTATTCCCTGCACACCATAGACAAACTGCACCTTTCCCTCAAACAACATCATTAAGAAATAAAATAGCACAACCACCACAAATGCAACTATATGCAACTACATGATCTTAAAATGACTAAAATGAGCTTTTAAACAAACAATAACTTGAGTGAAAAAGGCTTTAAAAGTAGCCTTTTTAGGAAGTTAACACACCCCCAAACTTAAGCTATTGCTTGTTCTCAAGCAATGGATAGCAGTTACATAAGCATAATGTCATGGCAAAGTTCGATAGTAAGACAGTAGGACAAAATTGAATTTCAACCATCAGAACGATAGGCTTCAACATGCTAGACTTATCAAGAATTCAAGTACTTTTCCCTAGGTCAAAATCCTTTGTGGTAGTGTGTGTGCGTGATTGTATCCAATCTATACTTAGCGAATTTAGACAATTTCTAATCAAGTCCCCTAGTTTTTTGTCAAGGTATTTACTTATCATTAAGCACATTTTTACTCCCTTCTCTTTGAATATATTTTTTAAACTAATGCCGGCAGAATTTCGTCTGGGAAACCAGGGAAATTCCGTTGACCGTGGGGAATAATTTCTTGAAACAACGATTCCACCATAGCATCTCTATGCTTCACGTATCCATAGAAATTACGGATGTCACCGTGTAAAGCATGCAGCTGAGCTTGAGTCTGCGTCACAGCTTCCTCGAGAGCAAGTAACCTTGCCTCGGCATTCGATTCTGTAGTACCTGCAGATTGCTCATGAACAGGGTCTTTAGACTTGGGATTTTCAAGTCCCAACAATAGTGGAAGTCTAGCCCTAGTGATGCCCGATAATCCAGGTAAAATTTCATCAAAAGCATTTTCCTCAACCTTTTTCTTACGACATAAAGCGGTAATTAAATTAGGAAACACCAAAGCACTTGCCTTTTTACCCAAACAGTCATGAACTTGCTGAACAATAATACGACCCACATCGATCGGACGGGATACTATCATAGAATGTAAAAGTAATAAGCGTGAAAGTGATACCGTAGTGTTGTGGGAAGTGGGCATTAGTTTATGCTTGAGAAAGTGATTCCATAACTTTGTGCGCGGCTGAAGACGTTCTCGGTTGATCGAGCATCAACTCATTTGTCGTCCATTCCACTCAGTGTTTTCAAAACAAAGGTCCTCCAAGACCCCATCGTATGTGTTGCTATCGGCTTCCTCTTCGAACATGGCATGGCCGTCTACTACCTCCTGTAAATGAAAATAACGATTAATAGCAGTGGATGTAAAACGGATTTGCTTACCTCGAACGAAGATGGAGTGTTGATTAGGCTTGGAAATGTCCGTATAGAACTCCTTAACTAATGAGACGTTCACCGAACCAGGATGACGGGCAAACTTCTGCCACTTGAGCGGCGTCACGATGTCCATAACATCGGGTCCAAAACCACCATCGGTTTCCTCAGTAAAAATAAATCCCAACTC